GAAAATTAGAAAAATAAAATATGTTATCAATAACAAAATCTTACTCCATTATTACCCTTCAAGTTGGAGTGTTAGGATTATAAATACCTAACTTGACCACTAAGTCATAGAACAACTTGTCACTCAATGACTTGTGAAAATGTTAGGTTACGTACTATTGTTTTGTTGAGATATAGGCGATAGATATCACGTTTGTTTACAAATACTCACAAATGAAATGAAAGTCTATTATTCTATGTGTTTGGTGTAATCATGGAAGATTAGATCAACTACAAGGTGAAGTGCAACGTGTTTATAACAATGTATAGGCATGGTCCATCACAACTAACTTGCAAGCTCCTTACTAACCCTCGGAACCAAATGATTTCACTAGTGGTAGGAGCAATAGCTTTGTATTCTACTTCAGTAAAAGATCTAGACCCTAAAAGATCTAGACACAACTATTGGCTTATTGGTTTTCCAAGATATGGACTACAAGAAAATGACAATTTTGCGACAGTTATATGACCTACATTGAGACGGTTAAAACTGCCGCAAAGACACAATATTGCGACGGTTCACTAACCGTCGCAGAAATGTCCGACACGAGGAAATTTTGCAACGGTTACTGAAACCGTTGCACAAAGCGTCGCAAAACTGGAATTGCGACCCTTACAGCACCCGTCGCACCAACTGCCTCTAAATCAGTCGCTAAATATTTATTTTATTTTATTAAATTTTTTAGATGTCTCTAATTTGGTTGTTATTCTTCTCAAGGATCTAATAACCAACACAGATGCACAACATAGCATGTAATTGGTTTACTGTTCATTGGTTCTCTCTAATTCTTCAACTGACTTAGTTGCTACTCTTGGGGAGACTAATAAACCACAAAGATGCACAACATAGCATGTAATTAGTTTACTGTTCATTTGTTCTCTCTAATTATTCAACTGACTTACTTGCTACACCTGGGGAGGCTAATAACCCACACAGATGCACAACATAGCATGTAATTGGTTTACTGTTCATTGGTTCTCTCTAATTCTTCAACTGACTTACTTGCTACACCTCGGAAGACTAATAACCAACACAGATGCACAACATAGCATGTAATTGGTTTACTGTTCATTGGTTCTCTCTAATTCTTCAACTGACTTACTTGCTACACCTGGGGAGACTACAGGGACGGAGCCAGGATTTCAATACTGGGGGGCCGAGAATTGGAATGATCAAATGAGGCGCTACATTTTTTTAAAAAAAAAAAAATTCCAAAGTGATACCACATAGCAGGCCGTACCAGAAGTCCAAAAGTTGAATAAAAAAATAAATTTGGGTTATTCATTTAATTATACATATGAGTTTATATTAAAAATAGGGGGTGCCATATAGTAATATATATGTATATAAAAAAAAATTAAAATTGTTGGGGGGGCCGTGGCACCCGTAGGTCCCCCTTGGCTCCGTCCTTGTTCATATATACTATAACATATATAGCTAACAAAGAGTAATGAAGCTAAACACCTTTATGAAAACATATTTTTGTTCGAATAGCGCTAACAAAACTAGCACTAGGATTCGACCTTTCATTATGAAGTTTGTTTTGGACTTCTTATGGGGGCCTCCCATGCGGTCAACGATAACTATTTAACTACCGCTTTATGAGGCATTGTACGTAGTTGACAAAATTAGATCGAAGGTGATTGGTGAAAATTTTCAACTAGTTTTAATAATGTGCTTCCATTTTTTTTAATATTTATTTATTTATTTTTATAGATTTCAAAACTTCAAAAATAAACTTCAAATGGTAAAGATTGTTGAACTTATCATAAATGAAAGTTCTTAAAGAAAAGTATCTTCAAGAAAGAAAATTAAAATTTGTGAAAGAGAGAAAACTCAAAGTATATCTCATATGATCTCAAAAGTGACATCCAAGTTACAAGGAATACCTATATAGAGTTTGGTAGCTTGTAGTATAAGTTAAACTAACCAAAGTTAAAAATAACTTAGGTTAAGTTAACTTGAACTCAATTAATCAAGTATAACCCATTTGGCCAACCAAGCTTTAAGTGTCACTATCGTAGATCTAGAATGACAAATGAGAATTTTCCATGTGGCAAGACAAGAAAAGTATGACTCATATCTCCATTATAGATCTAAAAGAACTAGGTTAAAATCTTAATTTGATCCCTTATAATATTTTTTTGTTTCAATTTACTCCCACTTTAATTTTTGGTTTCAATTTGGTCCTTAATAATTTAAATTAGTACAATGTCAGACTTCCGTCCAAATTATTTAAACGGAGTTAATTGTTGGCCACGTGGATGCATATGTGGATGCCAAATTTCTTTAATGCATCTAGAACCAGAACGACCCGTTCTGAAACCAGAACAACCCGTTCTGATTGCACTCTTGGTGTGTTAAATTTGCACCTAGAACGGGCCGTTCCAGATGCAAAATTAACACACCAATAGTGCAACCAGAACGGGTCATTTTGATTCCAGAATGCCAAACACAAACGGTTGATGATTATAGTTCACGGTTATGAATCGTGCAAGGAAAAAAACTCAAGGTACATGGAAAATTTTGCGATGGTTTTGGGAGAAACCGTCGCAATTTTAAAAAATTTTGTGACGGTTGGTAGAAACCATCGTATGAAGGGTCGCAATATCAAAGCGACGACGGTTTCAGGATAACTGTCGCAATTTGTCCATCGCAATTCATCATTTTCCTTGTAGTGAATTGAGTTTTATATATTAAGAACCCTGAGATTGATTATCATATGATTGGACAAGAAATCCAATCTGAATCACAATATCCAACAAGTTGGAGATCATTTTCTTTAGGTAATAGGATGCCTTGTTGATGGAAACCTACTTCTTAAGAACCCCTTTGGAAGAGATAAGTCTAAGAAGGGTAAAGGTTGATAAAGTTGGTTTGAATAATTATAGGGAACTTATCCTTATTTTGTAAGGTACCTACCTTTGGAGGCTTATTGCTGTTATACATTTTTCTTATTTGTAATTCATTTTAGTAATGATTGTATTATGATATTATGACCTTATATTTTAGGTTAAGTAGTATAGGTAATTTTGTCCTTATATTACTTAAGGGTGTAATTAGTCGACCAGGGGAAGTGTAACTAGCAAAGTCTTGTTAGACTTATTTGGACTTGGATCACCCAAATATTTTTATGGCTCATAGGTTCTTTTTATGGCCCATAGGTTTGAACGTTCAAACCATGTCATCCAAGCTATATATTAAGTTACATGACTTTGATAGTGACATCTTAATAACTTGTTAAAAGTAATCATTAGTCTAGTAATTATAATAATTATATTAGATAGTTGGAGTTAACTTAATTAAGCTAACCTGGATTATTCTTAAATTAGGATTAGTTTAGCTTGCTCCATAAACTTCTAGACAACTAACTAGACTTATAGACATTTAACTAGAGTTAGTTAACTTAAGTACAAGATAGCTAATCATGGTTACATTTAACCATGGTTAATCTAGCTTTCACCATAAGCCAATTAAACTCTATATATTATACATTTTGTGATAGTTTTGAGTATTATATATGATTTGGATGAAATTCCTCCCCAAATTCTCTTTCAAAACTTGTTTTTTTCTTTGAAAATTCTTCATTTTCTCTTATCCTCTCTTGAGTATGGTGAGAAATTGAAGAGATTTATCATTCTTCAAGAGTGTCGCATCACCTAAGAGAGTTCTTATCTTCTCTTTGTGTTAAAAATGGCTTCTAACATCAATGAAATTCATTGAAGAAGCTTGAAGGAGTTCAAAAAGTGAAAGATTTGTCCAAGAAACTTAAAGGAGAAGGTACATCATTCTAGTTTCTCCTAAGGTTTCCATCACTTGTCCTGGTGAGGATTTCAAAAACTGTAGAATACGCATGGCAACATCCCAATGTGTTTGTTGTGGTGACTACGTGAATTGGCTTAGAATGTGAATGGTTGAATGTCCTAGTTCTCAATTGACATACTTTAAGTTGCAAGGAAGGCGTCATAATTCATAGGATCGCATTATATCAATGATAAATACTTGATGATGGTCATAAATGTCAAGATTTGTTAAAGCGTTATAACATGATATTGTCATACAAGTAATTAGGAGTGAGAAATAAGTGATCCAGATAGGACGTTTGAGCTAGATATATAGAAAATTTGCATGCATTAAAAGGTTACACTCGTTGAATATTTTAGGTTAAGATAGTTATTAAGTTTTTCTAGTAATTATCTCACTGAGAATTTTCGATGACAATCCCATATCCAAACAATTATGAAGCAATAAACACATATTCCTACATACATTTGTTAAAACATCATGTGAAAGAGCTATTTTAATTTCTTTAGATTGATGTATTGCTATAGAGAAAACACTCAAAAATATAATCAAGCAAGAAAAGCAAATATTGACAACCATAGCAAGGAAAACCCCTCGTACTCTTCGTGATACTCATTTCTTTTTAAATATTTCATCTATGAAATATTATGGTCTACCTTTTTCACGAAATATTTGAAACAATTTAAAATTGCAATAAGTTTTTTTTTCAATATTTACTCTTTACTTCAATTAATTAAGTAACTATGTCGATACAAAATATTCTACGATTCGCATTCTTGTTTTAAACTAAATCCCAAAATTAATTGAACCACCCTTCAAATTTCTCATCTGCTTCAATAATTATTTTATCTTTGCGCAAATTAAAAGTTAATCATTAACAATATTTAAAATATAAAATATCTAACCCTAAGCATATGGTTCAGCGGTAGGGGTTGATCCACGCTTAAGCAAGGTCAGGGGTTCGAATCCTGTCTTGTGTATGTAGCCGTGTTAAATCTTGGGGCCAGCTATCCCACCCTTTAAGGTGCCTAGCGAACCAAGAAAAAAATCAAATATCTATTTCATGACTAAATAGCTACTGAGTTTGTTGTATTAGAAGATTGAAAAAGAAAAAAGGAAAGAAAATGACTCCGATCAATCGAAACCAGAAACGCTCTCTTTTATTCATTATATATAATATTTGTACTTGGTTGCTCAACATTTTTATAATTATAATTATAAGATAGACAACTAGAGTCTTGATAAAAGCAAAATTTCTTTTCGGGGGTTAACAAAGCAAAGGAGACTCAATATATATGAATCTTGATTAATTATATATATCATTTTGTAGAGGGTGGTGATTCTCCAAGAAGATATGAGGAGAAAAACGCGAGGGAGTTGCTTGGTTTGAAACAAGGCACTGCATGCCCAGCTCCCCGAAATGTCGCAAAGGTAAGCCCCTCATATTCTTGATACCACCCACTAACCTGTTCCAAGAATTGAGAATATACAGATCGTTAAAAACTGAATCCTTATTGATGATAGCAAATAATTTATCCATACACTTTCATTAAAATGCAGTCATAATATAAAATATATTATAAATATTTTTCTATCAACGTGGGAAAAATATTTCCATTTTCTCAACATTTAGTCATTCAAATTAAGTAGTTGTGGATAAATTACGAACTCTTTCAGCATCATTAGCTAGTATAATATTATTTATTCTTACACTGCAAATATTTTTACTGAAAATTTTACTTTTCTTTTAATTTTCAAGATACTTAAATTACTAGTTAATCAACATCTAAGTTGGAGTATATCTTCAAAGTTGCTTGATGAATTAATATTATTATTTTTTATATCAAGGTATTCCCTAACCAAGTTAAGGATTAATCATTTTAGATGTTAAGATATATATCTATTCAATGAATTCACATCTCTCAACAAATGTTTTTATATACACAAAGATCAAAGATCAAATTCTTGACCATATGTTTCAGGAACAAAAATTATAAAAAATATATAAGAATGATATAATTTTTTTTTTTGTAAAAAGTATAATATTTATAGTTACCGCAAATATATATTTAATCAAGACTATAGTTTTGAAGATAAAAGAGGGTAACTTTTAATTATTAAATTAAAAAATAATATAATCAATTTTTATAAATAAAATGCGAACGATTATATTATGTACGAATTTTTGAAGGTTTTTTTTATTAGAGGGTTTTATGGATTTTTTTAACTTTATGACTAATTTAATTTTTTTATTTATCATAATTTTTTATGAATTATATTTTAATATTTTTAAAATAAATTATTAATAAATAGAAATAATCTTATACTACAATAATTTTTTATCGTAAATTTAAAAAATATTTTATATATTTAAAAATATATATTTATATATAATTTATATATTTAAACATAATATTTATTAATACACATAATTTATTATAAATTTTAGTTATATATAATAAATATTTAGCCTAATTAGCTAAAATACTAGTATTTATGAAAAATAAACTAAATATATTAAGTCATTTTTTGTGAAATTATCATATTTTTTTTAAATTATTAAATTATAGAAGATTTAATTAATAAAAAAATCCTTATATTTTCTTTTTCTTCTAAACCTTTTTGTCAAACATACCACACAAGAAACAAGGACGGAAAAAATTGAAAGATTTATGTTTCATTTATAATTGTTATTATAAAATATATTTTAAAATAAATTATCATCTAAAAATATATATTAGATATTAAAAACATGTTTATATCATAAATAAATTAAACTTGATTTTTATAAAATTTAACATATTTATTTTTATATTTTGAATAGTATTAAATTATTATAAAATAGGTCTTTAAGATTGTACCCAAACATTTAAAAAATGTCTGATAGATAAATAAGTCATACTTAAGATATATATTTTAAAAAAAAGTTAGGTTCAAACCTACTAAATTATAATAAAATCTAGTCTGACCTAATTTATTTTTATCTTTAATTATAATCCTAGATATAAGAACTTGTAAAAAATAATTATGATATATATTTATGTCTATAAAAGTTTACATAAAATTTTAATACTACAATATATAAATAAATATTACCCCCACTATCTAAAATTTCTGGATCTGTCATTAACAAGAAATGAAGCAATATATGCGTTTAATTCACTTACCTCCTTTTCATGGTACCAAGGCCTCCATCTCTTAGTGATAGGCAAACCTAGAAGACTTAAGCTGTATCTTGTTGACAGCACTGGCACCCTACCATCAGTGTCTCCACTGAAAGGTCAACAATGGAACAGACAGAAACCATGAGAAAACGTGGCAGCACATGGCCTTTGAATTAGAAGGTTGAAACTGAATAGTATTTACCTGTAAACCCAAATCCTAAGTCCTGCTGCAATAAGCTTCCTGTAGATTGGGATAACAGATGACTTTGACTGTTTCCATCCATTGAATATGTTGTCACTGATTTTAATTAACCATTTAAAGAGGGTTAATTAAGAGAAAAGACAACAAAATATTCTATTATTTCTCACATCATAACAAATGAAGTTGCTCAAATAAAACAGTAAGTACTTGCAAATACTCCAATTCCTCAGATTGTGACCATCACTAGCATGGAGGGCCTTCTGAACATCTGGTCTATTGTAAAAAACTTTAGCATAGTCATCCAAACATGGGTCATAACCGCCCATGATCCGTGGCATCTGTCAACCAAATAAATCCACGTGTTAGTACAGAATATATGTTATATACACTGTTCACAACTGATAATGAATGAGTAAGGATACATAAATATTGAATTTAATGGCTATAATGAAAAGTTTTATAGTATCCATCAATTAAAAAAAATTATTGTTAGTATGAGCTCTATGGTAATTATTATAAAAGTTAACACAATAATTTATTTATAAAATTGTTTTATCCATAACTTTATTTTCTCATAAGTATTTGCTGCAGTCAAATACTCTATTAACACTTAAAAAAATTATTTCTCTTCTATTGTCAAATGATATTATCAATCTTATGTGCACTTCTTTCTTTTTCTCTCAATATGTGTATATATGAGCACTAGGTATTTTTTTTTTGGTAATAAAATGGAATTGGCCAATAATATTTGTTTTAATAATTAAAAGTTATCTGACAAACATATTAAAACATAATATAAAGCTTTTGTTAAAAGAAATTTCTCAATTCCACTATATGTGTGTATAGTGTTTGATAATTAATGTTTTCTTTGATCACTCACCATTTTAGATGACCGATTCATCACCGTTTGCCTGGATTGATCGTTTGAACGCGCTGTGCTGGCGAAGCAAACAGAGGTGTAGAGGCTGTAGATATCAATTTTGTTATACTGATTTAGTACTTCATCCACTCCATGACTACAATCTTTATTATTCCACGTATCACTGCTATTGAAGTCACAGCTTGCTTTGATTGTTTTGTAAGTTTCGTCAGATATCACTGCATGGCTCCAAGCATAATCAACCATACCTGACCAGTCCTCAGCATCAGATGTTTCAGGGTTCCCCAGCTGCAAAAGAAAAGAATAATATGTTATTTCCAATCTACTGTGTCCAGTGTAAAATTACCAGAGCTGAAACTCTAAACGTAATTATTGGTCATGACTCATGACAAATACATAATTATCTTTGCAAAGATGCTAATAGAACATGTCACTTGTGCGGAATAGATCTAATTTTCAAATCATGTCGAGGAACTAAAGTATAGATATGCTGAACTACAATGGAAATATTCTTGTTAATAAAGTAAGATTCTTTATATACTTTGATTTTTATTTACTGCCGCCTCTTTGGTTGACGCCAAAGTCACGTTAATTTTGAAAGAAACAAATTTTTTTTTAATTCTTCTGTTGATAACAAATTATTTTAAATTTGGAACTATGATATATATATATATATATATATAATTAAAAGGGTTCTACCATTTTATTGATCTAAACAAAATTTAAGAATAATATATAAGTGTTTTTTTTGTAGTATCTCCAATATATTATCGATCAAAATTAAAATTTTAATTGGATAACCTGTATAATAGAGTTATGCAAGTTAGCACAAAGGAAAGTTCCAAATATAATTAAAACAGTATCAAAAGTATCTATATGATTAATTCTGCATTAAATTTGTCCTCTATAATTATATATAACAACACCTTTTTCAAACACGAATCAATTGTTTTAATCTCTGTTCTTCTATTGAAATCAATTCTTTCAACTTTGATTCTTCTAAATATATATATGAAACAAACCAACTGTTATAGGTGTTAGCTATTAAAATTATGCAAGATTACCAAAATTCCCTTGAGATCAATGTGAAGGGAAGGGTCCTCGTTTCTGTCGTGGATGAGTTCAGCCAGCTCCGGCGCATACTTTCCTGAAAAGCGCGTTGCATGGTTAATTTAGAGGACTGCAATGAAGGGATCATTTCATTGACTTGTTAATTTCAACACCTGCATAGCTCTCTCCTGCTATGTAAAATGTCCTTGTTCTATACGATGGAAACTTGAGGAACCAATTGTGCAGAAAAGTGTAAGCATCATTAGCTGTTCCAAACAGTTGATAGAGCACAGTTAAATTTTGTATAAGGTAGCTAGCTAGCTAAGAACAATAGAAAATGTGACCTTCATTAAATTAAAAGTAGATATTGATGCACAGAAGAAGGATATATCTAAATTAAGGACCTGTGAAGTCATCTCCCAGTTGTGCATATTCGGTGGTTGTATTTGAATAGGAAAAGCCAACCCCAACAGGAGATTCCAGGAATAACATGTTGGCCTCTGCGTTATGTCAAGAATTCTAAGCATCAATTAACAATCATCTGTAGGGACAAGTAATGGAGCACTAGTGTGGGCTTCAACATTATTTTATAATATTATTAACATAGAAACTATAAAGTAGTAATAAGGTGGACTGCGCCACAAATTTTAATATGTATATATTTGTGGTCCTAGCTAGCCTCGCGCGTATCGTACCTCTGTTCCATGAGAAGTTATTAAATTTAAGGTCCTTGCCATCGATGTCCACTAAAAATGGACCAATCTCCTGTGTTGCTCCATATCCCACAGAAGAACACCCAGGACCTGTAAATTTTTTAACAAAAATTAAGGTACGTTGTCACCTTGTCAGAGAACATATATATAAAAAGAAACAACATCAAACGAACTGTGTTTAGGTAATTCTTTGCAAATTGCATATTTGAGTTTTAATCAACTTGATTTGTAAATGGATTTTCCTTTGAAGGGAGCTTAAAATGATATAATTTAATTATTTTTCAAGTCAATTACACATAATTAAAGCCATAAAGGTAATTGATCACGTTTACTCGAGCTTAGGTTTAGAGCTGGTGAGATCAATTTTAGTTTTGCCATTCAAACATGTTGGCGCATTAGTTTAAAACCAATCAAGCATGTTGGCTCAATAATCAAAGCGCAATATATTGCATCCATTCAACCTGATACTTAGATGCAAACATGTTTCAAAACATGCATGAAATCAGCTAGATTTTGAACTTTTTCAAATAAAATAAAATAAATGCCACCTCATACTCTCTCCACCCCCACCCCCAAATGAGCTCAATTTTTTTCATATATAAATTTAGAATGATATTTTTTTTAACTAATTTTAATGTCTTGCTTACTATACAAAAAAAAATATTTTTTAAATCTTTTTAAGATATTAAATATATATATTTTTTTTTTTTTTTTTTTAAGTATTAGAAGGATTAATAGAAAAATATAGTCAGCTCACATTGCTCAATTTTTTTTAATCGAGTTTAGTTTTGACAATGAGCTCCAAATTATATTTATACGTCTCACGGCAAGCTATCTAGCTAACATATTACTGTTACTTTTAATTAATTAGATTTTATTTAAATTTTCAAAACAAGTTTGATTAATAGATGAGAAAGAAAGATACATTTCTAAGATACCTTTATATCCACCACTTTTGGTTTTCTAATGGATTCTGAGACATTTTTACGCGTCGGTCAAATACCGATCGACTTTAATTAGTTAAGATTGATGTTTAATTCCAAACTTAACCATACTTAAAAAAAAAATTAACATGAACTTCAAATGTTGTTTTTAACAATCATGTTCAAGCGTGTTATGCTTTCTGCCTATATATATATATATATATATATATATATATATATCAGAAAAAGTACATTTGCATACTTCAAATATTTCAAGACACTTGGTGAAAGAGTGAGAATAAAAAGAAAAATATAAATATAATAAATAATTAATATGATGTGATAAAAAAAAATGTGATCATAAGAATATTTAAAAAATGAGGTGTGTAAAAAATCATTGCTCATATTTTATATATAAATAATTTGGATATATAAGAGATACATGAGAATGGTAGCAGCAGGAAGAGCAGATTAAGCGTATGTGTCATATGAGGTTACCTCCATTAAGCCACAGCACCAATGGTTTGTCTTGAGGGTTTGTCATGGCCTCATAGAACCAGTAAAAGAGTGCTCGTCCATTGGTTTGGTTGACTGTGACATATCCAGCGTAGTGTTTGAAATTTACAGGAGGCTGGCCAGGCAAGTTAGTCACAAGATCATCATTTTCCTCAGACCTCATTCTCCTCACACCACCCCATTGTGTATCTCTAGAACAAACACTACAAGCCTTCAAAGATAGACAAAGTATAAAAATTACCAAAGTGTAGATATTGTCCATTATAATGTTATGAAAAGCTCACAACAAAATTTTGTATTGCTTCTTCTACTTTGTTTGATAGACAGAGAGAACTACATACCTATTTATACTGAGTGAGTGCTATGGGTAGAAATTTTAGAAAAGCAGATAGGATGAGAGAGTCCAACCTGGCAATATCTTTATCCCTCTCTCTCTGTTGACTGTCTGTCATGGATGTTATGTTAAGTAGCTTCTAGAGCATTCATGCATGCAATAAGATTGCATGGTTCTACTTGAATATTATCATGTATAATAATAATAATAATAATAATAATAATAATAATAATAATAATAATAATAATAATAATAATAATAATAAATTTAGGTTAATATTTAATTTGGATGAACATATTTAAGATATTGTTCTTTGGATTTTGATAAATATTTGCTCCATTCATGGGGAAAAAGAATTTGAGAAGGGGGAAATGTATGATATGATTGATTGTCCTGCTCTTTAATTACCAAAAATATTCGATAGACAGGTATGTCTTATTATGGAATTAATAGAAATCATTTTTTTTTCTTTTATGTAAAAATTTATAACAATATATAATAGATTAAGAAATTTTGGTATTCACTTTTTAATAGTCAATTTTATTTCTTAATATTATAGTATTCACTTTTCAATATTTAATTTTATTTTTTAATATCACAGTCATGTCTTTTAATTATTCTATTTATTTAATTTCAAAATAAACTTAACTTAAATTTTTGGAGACTTTTTTATATAGTAAAAAAGTTTTCTGGTATTTAATCAAGAATTTTTTTAATATAAAAAATTTATGTGATATTCAATAAAGATAATTAAGATTTTTTTAAAAGTCCATCAAAATATGGTAGTATTTAATTAAGACAATTAAAATTTATTTAAGTGTCTATCAAAATCTAGTGATTTTAATTAAGACTTTATTTTTACTTAAAAAAATTCGTTAATATTCAAAAATATAGAGATTTCAATAGATTATGTTGAATACTGTATTTTATGAGACTTTTTAGTATAATTTATATGTAATTCACTTATCAAACAATCTCACAAATTTGCAGGTCATGGTAATAACCCTCAAAATAAAAATGAAGTTTTTAAATTACATCATACATCCTTAAGAAATATGATTGAGAGAATATTTAATATTTATAAATCATTGTTCATGATCTTCAAGTAAGTACCTCTATTTCTATTTAAGACATAAGATGAATTTGTATTAACATGTAGTGTTACACAATTTTTTTACAAAGAATATCGTTCTAATGAATTTTCAATTGAATTAGTAGTTGAATCTTCAATTTCAATAATATCAGTTAATAAAGATCATAATTTTAAATATATTGTTCAGATTCAAGTGCATAAAAGATATAGAATATGTCAATGCATTGAGGAAGAAATGTTAGTTATGAGAATATTAAGGTCAATTATTTGTTAAAAGATAAAAATAATTATTTGTCAAAAGATAGAAAAATTGTGTTTGTTTTACTTTTTTTTCTTATTTATGTCATATTTTTTATTAAATTTTGTAGTATTTAAATCCATGTTTTCTTGTGAAACCATAAAATTCTTTAAAACTGTATAATATAAATCTATTAAAATCCATTAGAACCTGAATTATAAAGTCTTATTAAAATTTGTTTTAAAAACCTTTTTAAAAAAAATCCTAAAAGTCATGAAATTCTTACAAAGTTTTTTAAAATTTATTAAAATTCATAAAACTTTCTAATGCTAAAATTGTCTTTTAAAATTCTAATTCAATACACCTCCATAATTTTCACTCATTGATACTCTCGAAAATTCACTATGATTCTTCATCTGTAATAATAACAGACAATTACTTATATGTCTTAACATTTTATCTTTTTTACTTTTAGTTATTTATCATTTATCTTCTATTTTAGTTATTTTACATTTTATATTTTATTTATAATATTAAAAAAAGAGATATTTCTTTTTAGTATACACAAATTTTTAGACTAATTCATCCATATAATTATCTCTAAACCATTTTCTCTTTCGTAATCTTTTGTTTATTTATTTACTTATTTGTTTTCTTTTTTCTACTTCAACGACATTCAATTTTCAAATACCTTATCATTTAAAGTAACAACTTATTATCTACATAAAAAGGCACAAATTACCTTTTTTCTTAATTTAAATAAAATACATAGAAGTACAAAATGTTTGGTCTTTATATATATAATAGAACTAACATTATCAACAAATCTTAATAGTAAAATAAATTTTAAAAAAAGGTGTAAATATTTAATAAATTAATTAAGAAAATATAAATTTTCAACATAAAACTATTCTATTTAATAAATATAATATTAAATAATATTATTTTAGAAAATAGTACATTTTTTTAACTAAATAATATTTATTAAAAGATTACTATATTTAATAAATATAATATTTAATAGGTTAAATTATATGTAGATCAATGTAGTTTTATCAAATTTTTAATTAAGTCTTTATATTTAAAAACAACTTAAGTTTTTTTATAATTTAAAATTTTCTTAATTAAATCATTCACTCACTATTTCCATGATATAATATCCGACCAACATAAACTAACAAAATTGTAACAGAGTAAGTGGGAACGATTTAAAAATTATAAAGATTTTTTAAAAAATATTTTTAATTATAGAAAGCTAATTAAAATTTTGACAAAACTATTATAAATTTATAGATTATTTTAACGTATTTATTGATATCATTCAAGTTAATTATATATTACGTTACATAAATAATATTTAATGTTTAATAGAATCATTTTATAATATTTATTCAGTGCAATATATAATTAAATTAAATGAAATTATTAATTATTATATATTCAAACTAAATAAAATAACTAAATATTTAAATAAAATTATTAAATATATTAAATTTTAATAGTTTACTAAAAATGCTATATATTTGAAATTAATTAATTTTAATATTCATAAAATTTATGAAATATTAAATTTATAAAATATAAAATGTAAAAATAAAATAAGATATGGTTAAAAATTATATTCCTTAAATATAATATATTTATTATTATTTTTTAAACTAAAAAATGAATTAGAAAAGTTGAATAGAGACCAGAATAATTAATAAAAAAAATATGAAACTAATATAAAAGATTCTCATTCCATCTTCAAGTCTATTTTACTTATATATTTATTTCTATATTAAGGTTTTAAATATTTAATATTTACTAAATTATGAATTGTTTAATAATATCATTTTATAATATTTATTCATTGCAAATTTGCAATATACAATTAAATTAAATGATATTATTAAATATTATATATATACACAAACTAAGTAACATGACTAAATAATTACTTTTTATTTATTTAAAATAATAATTTTAAATATTTTATTAAACATACTATATATTTAAAATAATATATTTTAATTTCCATAAAAATTTATGAAATATTAATTTTTTTAAAATATAATATATAACAAAATTTCAAAATGAGGTTAAACATTATATTTTTTAAATATAATATATCTATTATTATTATTATTATTATAAAATGTAACTGTTAACCCCAAGCGTGTGGTTCAGCGGTAGGGCTTGATCCACGCTTAAGCAAGGTCAGGGGTTCGAATCCTGCCTTGTGTATGCAGCCGCGTTAAATCTTGGGGCCAGCTATCCCATCCTTAAAAAGGTAAGAGATCTAACTTCTATTTTGTTTGTTCACCAATTTCAAATACCCATAATATTTTTAACCAACTACTTGACATAAATGCAAAATTATAACATGACAAAAAATTAAATAAAAAATTAATTATTATTAATTTAGAAATTGACAATTTTAAAACCTATCAAATTTATGTGGGTATGGTAGAATTTCTTGTGTATTTTAATTTGCGAAATGTTTTTCAATTTATTTATGTACATTTATTTAATATGTAAATTTTTATTATTTTTAATATTTTAATATATGTATATATTTAATATTTATATAATTTTAATATATGTAATCATTTAATATTTATTTTTATGTTGAATTTAATATATATTTAACCTCGACGAATATATATCATATTTAGTAAATATCATATTTCATATATATTATAAGTTAATTTCCAATATCATTAATTATTATTTTTTATTAAATATAATATGCAGTGAGGTTATCAAGAATAAACTTTAAGTGATAAACTATTGTATTTTTATATATTATCGAATAAATGTTTTAATTATTCAAAAAAATTAAAACTTTAATGTGTTAAAACATATAATACATAATTTAATAAATATATGATGTTAAAAATATCATATTTAATATAAAATAGTTAACATTTTCCAATAACATTAATACTATGTTTGTATAGTAACATTTTGAATTATATTAAAAAAAATTATTGTACTAAAACATGTATTAGTTTGATCAATTTAATAAATAATGTGTTTAATTAATTGGGCATATATTATCGGTATAAAAAATTATATATTGATTAATATTCATTTTAATGGGAAACATCGAAACATATGAAGAAAAATTGATGAAATACAACTTACAATAGAATAAAGGGAGGAAAGAATGTTGAGACAAAAACATATGATTATTTAATTAAATTTATAGTAATTGTGTCTAATGATACATCATCATCCAGTTCGAGATCCTCCAAACTGAGAGTGCACCGATCTTTGTTCCTTAGTTTTATTCTATATTTGTTCTGCAATCATCAATCCCATCAAATGATTTATGGTAAATTCTGTATTATTTGGCCATTGACTGTATTATGGAAGATCAACGTGTATTCTATTAGACAAATTAACGTGGTCAGTATGAGCGAAGGAGAATTTTATCGGTTAGAATTATGGCACTCCTCCTTGTTTAAGAATCGATTTTATATGCTCTAAAATTATAAACATTTCAATCAAAGTACATCAAAGATTGATGATACCTGTATTTTATATATCCACCAGATAACCTTCAATGAAAATAGATTAATTTTTCATTAATTTAAGGATTCCTGAATTTAGTATTCATTGTTTTATAAGATTGATTTAATTTAATTTGA